AGCGTGTCACTAAAGAAGACTGATCATAGGACCCCAAGAAGAGACCAGCCCGGTTGTGAGCATCTTCTGTCCCGAGCGTTCATTCGCTCCGTCGCTCGCGGCAGCAGAAGATTGTCCATCTACTGTGTCACATGCACAGAACACCTTGTTTGACTGGTTGAATTCCCTCTGAGGTGAGCGGATGGGCATGCACGCAAGGGGCCGGCCGAAGTTCATCAGGCTTCCGACAGAGCTTTGGCAGTGCTTGAAGACAATAGCGCTTAGCCCAGGGACATCTGTCATAATCACATCAGACAGGGATCGGAAGACCCTTGCTGCCTTAGTTGGCAGCCTGCCCGTCTATGTGGCACCGGAAGGGTGCTGCGTGATGCGCCGGCCGAACGAGGAGGAATGGATCCACCTGGTAGACGATGGCGACGTAGAGGGCCGCGAGGAGTGGATGGACGGCGTGCGAGCTGTGTTCAACTACTTCACAGAGCGAACGCCGGGATCATACATCGAGAAGCAGGAGTACATGTATCGCTGGTCCTGGGACCACGCCCAGTTCGACTTTGGCTCGGCACAAGCCCGTGAGGTCCTAATCCATCTCTGGGCGGGCCCCCTGGTCAACAGCGAAGCTGAAGTTGTCGTTGGCGACCGTACAATCACTGTGCGTCCGCATGCGTGCTCTCGCAGCGCATGCTTGGAGAAGCTGCTGACGACTGAGCTGGGGGCATTGCAGAATGTTGACTTTGCGCTCTGTTTTGCCGTTGTTTCGCATCGCGATGAAGATGTGTTTGACACGGTGGAGGGCTTCTTTGAGGAGTCCACTGCTTCTGAGTATGCATATGTCAGTGCAGCTGAGGGTGAAGCAAGCGGGCTGGCCACAGGCTTGATGAGCTTGTGCTCTTCGCCCAGGTCGTCTGCCGGCATGGAGCGGAGTGAGTCTGTTCTGCACACCCCTACCGGTCCTGCTCCGGAGGTGCATCCGGGAGAACTGCCCCCGCCCTACGACTGGATACCCACTGCCCAAAGGGAGAGGGAGGATGCAAAGCTTCAAGAAGCTGAGCTCGAGGCATGCCGTGCAAGCGCCGACGGCGCAGACGCAGAGCCAGAGGATGCGTCGGCCGCAGAGCACACGCCAAGCTCAACAGACTTCGAGTTGCGGCAAAGCTTTGCGCCCTGCTACACTATGTCCCTGGGCATGAAGAAGACCAAGGCCCAGTATGCCTTGCCCCACCCCTACCATGTACAGAACCTCATCCGTGCCATGGCAGCCAGACTTCCGCAAGCCTGATTCGCCCCTTGTAAAACTGGAAACAGCAGGCAACGTAATGTTGCTCATGGGGGAGCGCGCCCCATCGCTGAGACCAGCGTGCCAAAAACGAATCGCTTTCCGCTGTGCTCTGCTGCGCTGCGCTGCACCGTCTTCTCATCCGACCGCCTGCATGCCAGGGCGAAGGTGAAGTCCGATGCGTGGCTGGCCAAAAAGGAAGCGGAGGCCGAAGAGGCGGAGGCAGCGCGGATAAAAGCCCTGAAGGCCCAGGACAGCCAACTTTGCACTGAACATGGCAAGGCATCATCATTATCGTGGACTAAATCGAAATCAATTCCGCCTTCTGCCATCCGGCAAGGAGTGGGATGACATTCCCGACGGAAAGCCCGGAGGGGATGCCGACGGTTTCAGCCCGGAGTGCACGACTCAGTTTCCCTGCCTTAGTCTGAACTTTAAGAAGCTCTGCGGCTGGGAGGCTCGAGCCTCTCGATGCCCTTGAAGAGGAGGCGTGAGCGGCAACCATGTATCGGCCACTGCTCGAAGCTCCACAGTTTTTTGCCCGACTTTCTTTGCTTTTCGAAGAAATCGTTGTCGAAACGTTAAAACAAGCAGGCAGACAGAGAACGGCACCTCAAGGACACTCAGACAACCGAGCCCCGCGGTTCCTGTCTATTGTGCCCGATGTGCCCGTGGTGTTCATGTCTGTCTGTCTGTCTGTCTGTCTGTCTGTCTGTCTGTCTGTATCTCTATACATACATACGTATGCAGGCATGTATGCATGTATG